GACACCTAATGGTAATGAATTGACATTTTTGCGCTTTGACTTTTATATTGACCAATTTGAATGTTGAAAGAACCATTCTAACCTCTATGTGTAGACGCATACCCCCCCACACACATGTACATATCCACAGACACATACAAGGCAATGACGACGGCGAGTTGTTGTCAAGGAGAATCACACCGATGAATTAATGACGATGATGATGTCGATAGGTGATTGTGATTTCGTCTTCCATTTCAACGATAGCAGCGATGATAAGTGGTTGGGGGTGGAATTGTGGAGAGAGGTAGAGAGAAGGGGTGAGGCGGTGGTGGCGGCGATGGTGGGTGGTGTTGGAGCGGCAAGAGGAGGAAGTGAGAGAACAGAGAGAGAAGAGAGAAAAGGGCTATGAATGGGTTGTGGAGGAGAGAGAGGGGCTGTGTAGCAATAGAGGCGGCGATGGTGGTTGCAGTAGAGGCAGCGACAGTTTTTAGATTTTCAGATGCGCTTCCACGCGCTGGCACACTGCAAATCACTTGAACTTCACGCACTGGCGTCAGAATATCTTGTCCCTATTGAAATCACCAATCTCTCCTGATGATCTTGACAGTGACAAAATAGGGTTTCTAAATGAGCAACATAGTTATAGTAGCGATTCATTGAGGAATGGAATGGGTTACAGAAGAAATGAAATATTAGAGTGAGAGAGAGAGATGGTTTATGGTTGCGATTAGGGTAATGGAATGGGTGACAGATTAGGATGGGTGGTATAATCTGGCATCACTTGGCGTCAATTTGTGGCTGAAATAAACTGAGGGTAATTGCATCTTTTAACTATTTCTGATATTTTATAATAAATATGATTTTAATATTAAGGGGTAGGTTCATATTTTTAGAAGAGTTAAGGCCTTGTTTGGTTGGAATTTCATACAAGGGTTGTCTTTGTCCAAAAATAGGGTAAGTTGTATCAGTGTGTCCTTTTGATAAATTTCAGAGGGTGTTCCTGTATTTTACCCTATTTATTTTATTATATTCTTCTTATATTCTGTGTTCATTTATTACCCGATTGTTTTTTATATTTCCAGGTCTTCGGGTGTGGGCCTGACCAACCCGCACTCGAAAATTTAGGGGTATCACACAAAATATTTAGTGGGCATGGCCAACCCACACTTGAAAATTCAGGGGTATCACACAAAATATCTACCTCAATGTATAGATATATGCATATGTATATGTGTATGAAATGCCAATAATGCCCCTTACCAAAAATGGCAAAATCGAGAGAAGTTCCCAAGCTTGAAAGTCGTCCTGAACTTGAAAAACTCTAAAATAATCCCGTCACTTGTAATTGTCTTAAAATGATAAAAAATACATTTTTAAAACTCTCAGCTCGAGAAATGACCTAAATGGCCCTTCAAGCCTGCGTGGCACACAAAATAAATAAAAGGAAAAAAAAATTCGAAAAATCGAGAACATTATAGTTAAAACCCTTCTTTTTATGCTATGTTTGGTTGGAGGGATAGATTGAGGAGGGATGAATGAGAGGAGTGATGGATGAGGCTTTTCGTGTTTGGTTGGAGGGAAGGGAAGAGAGGGAGGAAGTAAGGAGGGATGCATCATTCCTCCTTTCTTCATGTTTTTCTATCCGCTCAATTTTGGGGGAAGGGAGGAGAGAGAAAATGAATAACTACCAATAATATGCAATTTCCAATTTTAACATTTTCAAAAAAATTCAAATGGATAACTACTTTTTATTATTTTATATAGTGAGGATATATTGGTAAAAAAATATAAAAAATCTCTTTCCCTTCCTTCCAACCAAACAAAAAAAAATATCACTCCATCCATCCTTTCTACTATCCATTCCATTCAATCAAACAAAAAATGGAGGAGACACCTTCCATTCCCTAGGGATTCTTCATCCATCCATCCCTCTATCTCTTCCATCTATTTTTCCATCTCTCCAACCAAACGAAGCATTAGACTTTAATGTAATTCTTTTGATGTTTTATCTTCATTGGCGTATAGTTGGTTTGTTTTGTATTTATTCTTGATTTAGAGCGTTGACCTTTCTTTCACATTAGCTTATTTATATTTCTTTTTTCTATTTTTAATGCTCTAATGATCTATGCTTGTTCTTCGTATTTAAACCAAGTCAGTGTGCAATTACTTTGGCTTCTTTCTAATTTACATTCTCATTTTCTAATTATTTACTTTGGCTTCTTTCTAATTTCCTCTCTCTCTTTCCTTCCTTCCTTCCTTCCTTCCAAACACGAAAAGCCTCATCTATCCTCTTCTCTTCCATCCTTCCTTAATTTTTCTTTCCAACCAAACATAACATGAGTGTGACGTCTTAAGGGAGAGACACTTATATGTGCAGACATTTCTTAATTATGTTGACGCATTTTAAAGACCTTTTGTTCAAGTCCACACCGAAGTGTGGTGGCTTTGATATAAGTAGAAAGCCTATGTATCTCATTCTGAATAGAGTCTTGCTTTCGCTCACTCGGCACTACAGTGAGATGTGAAAACATTCGTATAGTGATAAAATCACTTTTCCCATTACTATTACAATAGTATCAGTAAATGTCCTGTACTCGTCTTCTCCTCTCGGAATAGTACCTATTTATCAGAGTGTGAGAGTGTTGCTCCGGCTAATTACGTCTCTCGTCAACAAACACTACATCCGTGAAAAGTATAAAAGTGTGCAAAACTTATTTACACCGATAAGGACGGATCCTAATCAATGATATAACTATTTAAAATTTAAGAAGAAAAAAAAATCCGAAGAACAATATCTCCTTTAAGACTCTATGCTTATTGGCCTTGCTTTCTTGAAAAGTTGATTATAAACAGTGATAACAATTACCTGACCAAAGGTAAAAATGTGACAAGAAAAATGATAGAAAAGGGCCAAAAACGATGCTTGATTGAGATATTTATTGAAAAAAAGGATGCTTGATTGAGATAGCGAATAAGGGCACAACAACACATGATTCGAAAGATGAATTGGCCCTTGATTGTGACAATTATGTGATGTTGAGTGAGCCCTCTAAACCTATGGTGCTCAACTGAGTCCGAGTCAATCCAATCTTTACATAAGATAAGATGGCACCAATAAGATGGCACCGAAAACAATAAAAAATAAGAAAAAAATAAAAATAAAAATTAATTTATACCTTAATTAAAATTTATTCAATTAACCATTACCCATATGTCATACCAAAACTTTAACTAAATCATGTTTTGCCTGAAAAGTCTTACAGGCAATGAAGACCAATAAAAGCTTTAACAAGCAAACAAAACTACCAATCTACTTCTGCAATTAATGATGGCCAAACATGACCTTTGTTAATTATATATATATATATATTATATATCACAGTGTCATAACAGCGCAAGAGTCAATTCAGGAACATATGTCTGATTTCACGCGCCCACACGAGTGTGTGTATGTGTGAAATTGACAAATATTGTGCTAGTTTATATGGCTGGAATAAGATTGGGGTGAATCTGGAAAATGACACCCCTTTTTCTAAATCACTGACGGTTGAATACTATAGAATTAAAAATTTGTCCAAACCCAAATCGGTTATAGCACAATGGTGTAACAGCATGAATGGTCAAGATTATTCGTACACGTGGAATCGTCACTGTATTGATTATGATTATTCATATATATATATATAAAATCGTTACTGCTTGAATGATTTGATCGTTCACGTAAATAAAATTAACAATGACCAAAAAGATTTGTGTGGTAAAAATTTATGTCTTTTAAATAAGACAAAAGCAAAAAGCAAAGTAAAACTAATATAGGATTGCCCTCTGTTTGAATAAAATAAAGGTAAAGATGAAAAAATATAAATCTAATAAAGAGATTGGTTGGATTATTTATAGTTCTCTTTCACCTTGAAATTGAACACCTCACCATTCATAAAAATTGACAAACCCAAAATTGTATGTATTTAGTTTAAATTAACGTAACGGCTACTTCACAACCTTAATTATCTTTTTCTCTCTCTCTTTGGTTGTTCAATTTCTGTCCGTCAGTGTCATTGATGAAATCTTAATCCAAAAAGTTTTCTTTGCCAGTTTAGATGATTTTAATCAGTGATTATTAGAACTTCGTAAAGGGAAGATTAGTCATGAGATTCGCTCGAATTTGTTATCATCATTCATATAGTATAAAATAATAAAATTAAGAATGAAAATAAATAAAACTAATAATAAAATCAAATATCATCAAAGTCTGTAACCTCATCTGGTTAAGGATATATCAAATTGCATTTATTAATATTTTTTTTTTCAAAAAAACCAAGTACATACTGATACTCACAATCGCACTCAAACTCTTATAATCTATTTGGAAAGAAAAAAAAAAAAAAAATCATATTATTCATCCTAGAGGCCGGTGGGTATGAGTTGTATTTGTTTACTTCTGATTGAATTTGTCCTTGTGTGTTTAATTACTCCTAAATTTAGATTATTAGAGATTGTACTTGATTTAACACAAAAAGAATGTTTTCGATGCCCTGTATATGCGCGTGGGTGTAGTGATGGTGATATGATCAAATACTCCGTATTTCTTAAAGATAACCAAGACACCATCACAATGGGCGTGTGTGTGTATATATATATTGCTACAATGTCAGATCAAATTTTTGTTAAACTTCAATACATGAGAAGTTATTAAGTGGCATCTCCACAAATTACATGTAATTACATAAATAATAAATTTTAAAAAATTAATACAATTATATACATGATTGTCTGCGGTCAAAATTATAAAGTCCCATGTAAGTCCGTATTAAATAATATAAAATAAGACAACAAAAACTTCACTTTTCTTAAAAAGTTTATCACACCAGTTGTCACAGGAATCAAAAACAAAAATTGGAGTAATAAATCTTTTATTATATTTTTAATGTGTGTGTGTGTGTGTGTGTATATATATATGTACAGGACTTTACATTATATTTATGTTTACACCCAAAAGGCATGGGAGGTGGACAGAATCTAGAAAATATGAAACAAAAGCCCATACCTTTCACTTCCTCTCTCTCTAGGACCCAGAAATATATAAATAATAATTTTTTATTAAAATGGGAAAGAAATGATTGTATCAAGGAAAATTCATAGGTGAAAGTACATGAAAGAATAAGAGGAGACCACATGTTGACAATTTTGAAGTCATTGTTGTTTGGAGTTCATTTCTTTCTGTAGAGAGAGAAAGTGAGAGAGAGAGATCTTATCTGGGATGCAGGATTTCTCATATCTGCTGATCAGATTGTGTCCTAGAAGATTGGAATTTCTTAATATTCTTTTTATGAGTGATGATGATCTTGTAAGGCTTTCTCAGTGGTAGTGTACAGAGACACCCACCTTGTTTTTTTGGGCTCTTTGAGGTCTCTCTTCCATCAATTCTGGTTCATGAGCTTCTGGTGTTTGTGTCATGTTCTGCAAGAGTGAGCTCAATACTGATTATGTGGGGTTCATGATTTGCCGTAGATTTCTGCAAATTTGATTGAATTTCAAGTGGAGTTTTGAAAAGGGTATATAGTATTGATTAGAAATCTGAGGTAAATTTCTTTTTTTCATAATAATTTAAAGCCTTTGATTTATTTGTGTGTGTGTGTGTGTGTGTGTGTGGAGTTCTCTGTTTCTATTGCTTGATTGTATGGTTGATTCTCTCCCTTGATTCTATTGTTGATTTTCAATCTCTCTCTATTCTCTTTCTCTAAATTATGTTCTCTAATCTGATGGATTATCAGTAATTGATTTGGGTTATTGGTTTTATGCAATTTTGTTTTATATACAGAGAAAAGAATTTAGTTGGCACTCTGCACACTGGGTTTTTGATGAAAGGGGTCTGAGGTTTAATGGGTTAATTAATTGGAATTTCATTTGTATGAAATTTGATGCTACTCTAATCTTGTTTTTGCTTTTTTTAGCATTTCACAAAGTTTATGTTAGGATTTAATTAAAAGGCCTAACATCTATTCTATTTTGGTAATCATGGTGACATCTCAATATCTTTGTTTTGCACAATCAAATTGTTTAATTGCTATGCATAAAATGACATTTTTATTCAATTATCATTAAATAAACTGAATTGAAGATGCACTGAATTACATCTCTGATTAGTGATCTAACTTTAGTTCTTCCATCGACGTTCAATGTGAAGTTAAAATTTGTAGATCAGGGAAAATAAAATAAAATGGAAAGATACTGATCCCACTTTGTACACGTGTTGCCCCGGATTAATTACTATGTAATAACTTAAAACTTGTAAGTAATAACTAAGAAATTTTTGTTCATTTTCAGCAAAGAATTCAACTTTTATGGTAAAAATTTACTGCATCATTGGACAGTGTAAATGCTCAAATCATACATTATGCACTTTTTGAAAATGATATTATATGCTTGATTTTCTTGAGCCTTGTGGAAAACATGTAGTGCAAGAAATTTTTTGAGTCAGATGTCTGAAAACGATATTAGATGCTTGATATTTAAGGCTTTATATTGGCAATTAAGAAACTGACTCTTCATTAAGTGCATTTAAGCCCCGTCCCTTTATTGCATATACAGAGACATAAACTGAAGTATGTTGCCTTCACAATAAGGTCACTGAATTGAGATATTTCTTGGGTTGGCAAACTATTATCGGCATTCTAATGCCTCTCGTTCTTAGGGATTGTTGGAATTCTTCTTCTGCAGCTCACATATCTTCAACTACTGAACTTGAGTTCATTTTTTTTCTCTCAAGGACTTGGTTAATCCTAAATTAAGTACCTGCGTATCAGGTACCTAGCAGGAATTTTGAGAGATCATTGTGTACTTATCAGGTTCATTCTTCTAGACTAGGGGAAATAAATAGAGCTAAACCTGGAGCTCGTATCTTTGTTTTGGGAAAAGGGGGATTGTGAAGAAGAAACTTCGCAAGATGCAAATATTATACCAAAATTCATAGGTCAGCTCGTGAGGTAGCTATATATATATATATATATTTATTTATTTATTCCGTCCGGTGAATAAATCCAATGGTTCACGCTACTCCCAGATGAGTTGATGTTTTTTGTTTGACCCCATGCACCAGTTCATCAGGTAAGTGATGAGGCAAACTTCCGTATCACCATTTTTGTAATCTTCCTTGTTTTTAGGACTTGAGTGGTTAATTCATCAGACAGCTATTCCTTTCTTGTTGCCTGTGCACTTCAATTTGGAGATTCTAATTTTCCTTGATTACTGTCAATCAAAATTAGAACTTTGGACGAGTTTGTTGTGATTGATGTGCCAATATAGGTTTTTACCAGCAAGGTCAGATGTTTCTGTTTGATGTTACATTCTTTTCTTGAAGCTATCCATTTTCTCATTTCTTGTATTTTTCATCTGTCAACTGTCTTTCTGAATTCTTTGCTTCCTGTTGTTTTCTCTTATCTTACTGGAAAACAAACAGTGCAGAAGAGCTTTCCTGGAGCTAATAGGTGACAAATGCTGAAGCAGCAGAACCAAAACTATCAATCTGAATTTTCCTAAACAACCTGAAAGCAACATTTTTTTTCTTTAATTTGCACACTGTTTCTTTCTCACAAGTTTGCTTGTAATGCAAAGGATATCATTCATGTTTTTGATGAAGATTTAGTCACTTTAAGGTTATCACATGGAGATTGATCTAAAATGCATGGAGTGACTGTTACATACATTAATATATCAGCTAATTCATGCTCTCCTTATTCTTGCACTGCTGACATTCTACGGGCAAGCTGTTGTAATATCGTTTAAAGGGTTGAACTTTGTCAAAGAAGAATTTTTGTTACAAATACCATTTTGTCCATTATAAGGATGAGATTGTTCCTAATATGTGTCTGTCTTGTATCTCTTGATTGCTTTTCCTTAAATATGCACGTAAATACTAATATGGAAAGGTTCAGGTTCTGCATGCTGTTGAAGATCTAGTACTGCATGCTGTTGAAGATCTAGTATAGTGATTTTCATTGATGTTTCTTCTTTTATCTAAGTGACCATTATATGAATTGATATTGGTGGTTCTGCTGAGTGCATTTACAAAATTGAGGTTGCGATTTTATTATATTCTCCTACTGTTTGTAACCAATTATTTTACGTGTTCCCAAGTCAAACTAGTAACATTTATTGTTCTGATTGCAGGAATGGGAACTGAAATACAATCAAAAACATATTTTCCAGGATACTATTCCATGAGGAATCTGAATGATAATGCAAGCACTGACTTCTGGGCTCTATGTCATGAAGAAAGAACCTTGAAAAATGGCCAGAATTATGACTTGCTCTTGACAAGGCCATTCGTAGATGGATATTCGGGGTATGATAAGGAACAACTGAGGCAAACTATTTTGAAGCATGAGTCAATATTCAGGCATCAGGTATGCATATATCGACCATCTCTCTTGTGGTATGAAGTCTGATCTGCAATGATTTTTAAAATGACTTTTCAAAAAATTCTATAATGATCTATTATTTTAAGGTCCTGATTAGTCACTCCATGTTTTGACTTCTATTTTTGGAGCATTTGTGTAAATTCATGAATTAAGAAATAAAGTCCCCTCATTTAGCAGAAAAGGCTTTATATAAAGTCTACTTGGTTTTCTTTGGTGCGTAATGCATTTTTTCTTTTTTTTTGACATTTTCATTTGTTTGAATGTGTTTTGATCATCCAGCTCCAAGAACTACACCGTCTTTATAAAAGACAGCGGGACTTGATGAATGAAATTGGAAGAAGAGAGCCACACAAACATTTAATACCAGCAGAAACATCACAGCCAAGTCTCTTTTTTTCTCAAATTCCTTCTGAAGATGCCAAAAAGACATATGTTTCTAATTTGCCCTTTGAAAATTCAAATAGCATACAGTCCCCTCTTAGTTTGATGAACCGGAAGAATATGTCAGGTCCTCTTTCTTTTGAAGATGCAGTGACTTTTAAGAATGTTGAATCTCTGGAGTCGAAATGCAACATGTTTCAGAAAAAAATGTTCAACCCTGAACTTACCACTGATCTATACATGCATAACAAAGGAAAACAGCTAGAAGAAAGAGTTTTTGGAGTGTCAGGGATGGAGAGTTACCCTCTTAACAGTAATTGTGAGGTCAAATGTGGGAGAGATGGAAAATTGTCCGTTGGTAGTGGTTTGAACTCTGGCTGTAATGGTGAGGCTTCGAGATGTAATCTGTTTCCAAAGAGAACCCGTGATATGGCTGATCTGAATGAACCCATCCAGGTTGAGGGAACACCTGCTTCAATTTCTGTTGATAATTTAGGCAATATCACCTGCCTTGAAGAGGAGATACGAAGGCGAGATGTATTTGTCCACTCAAATTCAAGTTTCCATCTTTCGTCTAAGAGATCTTCTCAACCCTTCCTTATAAAAAGGGATGGAGGAATTAGCCCCGGCAATCTGCATTCAGAGAATGAAAGGGAACCAAAGGAGCAGTTAACTTATATTGTTGAAGCTGGTAAGAATTTCTTACTTTCTTTCCTTGTATATATATTTTTAAGTTGTTGTGTTGGTTTTCATATCTGGTTAGTTTCTTGTGAACTTTTCAGTCCTTCCTTGCTAACTGCTTGCTTCTGTGCTATTCTGGTTTCATCTGAATTGCTGATAAGAAGGGTTAACCGGCCCTCAATCCCTGTATAAATCTGACATTAATTAAATGGAAAAAAGAAAAAAAAGAACCCTGAAAACTTATCTTAATTTATCTCAAAATAAATAGGGGTGTTGGGAATTGAGCATGATCTTTTACAGTCTAGGATGTTAATCATGCTGATAAAGAGCTTCTTGGATTTATTAGAGCAAATACATATAGGCTATGTTCGGCTGCATGGAATCGGAACATTGGAATTGGAAAAAAATTTAGTTCAATTTTCTGTAACTTTGAACTAAACTTTTCTCCAAGGCTCCAATTCCATGCAGCCGAACACATCCACATAGAAATCTTTATACTGAAAGATGATGCAAAATGTTCAATAGATGGATGAGGCTCTTTTTGTTTCGAAGGAAGTCATTTCCTGGCATAAAACTTATATTTGAGTTGACTGCCTTATTATACAAAGCTGGTTTAAAGTTTAAACAACAGTTATGAATTTAAGAATTATTTCCAAATTATATCATACTACTTTATTTTATTTTACCTTTTTCTTTTTGCTTTTTTCTTTTTTCTTTTTTAATCATAAAGAGAGCTATGAAATAGTTGTGGTCTTTCCTGACTTAAGCCACTGTTGCTTTGGTCCTTTTTGTTATTTACCCTGGCTGCAACAAATAAAGCCGCAGGAAAAAAAAAAAAAGAAGAAGAAGAAGAAGAAGAAGAAAGAATTATAGTAATCTTTCTAATATGGGAATCCATGATATAAACTGATGATGTGATTTGGCTAATACTTTTTCAGGGAAAAATAGATGTGACACCAATTTATTCTGTGGAGTTGTCCGTCCAGAAGATTCTGCTACACCATTTAAGTCATTACAAGTAGAGCCTAGGAATCCTTTAAAATTTCTCCAATCTGATAAGAGTAAGATTGAACCTCTGAGAAAGAGGAGAATTTTTGGTGTAGAAATTCCTGAAGGAGTCCATGATCACTCCGCTGTTGCTTCCCATACTCCCACTCAGCATCCTGTTATTCCTCAGTCCGAAGTGGCCAACGGTGAGTCATTCACTGTCTCACAGTGTCAAAAGCCTCCAAGTAGCTTGAGTCAGAATCTGATATCAATTCAAGAAAATCCTTATATTAACAGCTCTAATTCATTCAATAAGAGTCCTAATACATTGATTCAAATCCCAGAATTTGTTGGAGGCAAGATGCATGTTACTTCAGGATCGACCTCGAGTTTAAGAGTTCAAGAATCCTACCAAAATGGCCTTTGTCTTGGTTCCCAGTCAGATGCCAAACAATTACCCTGCTACTCATCAATTGGATTTGGTTTCCCATGTGGAATCAACAGCAGTATTTCACGGCCTGAGCAATCTGTACCACATGGTCCTAGGAAAATCTTTGAGGGATCAGAGTCAGTTCACTACAGGTTTCAGGATGGGGTGATTCCTCAACAAAATCCTGCATCCGTAGATGTGCAAAGCAAGTATGAGAACCCTAGAGGAGGACTGCCCTGGCTTAAAAGAGAGGCATTCTCTAGTGGCGAACTGACCAAAAGAAGTCATCAGATGAACTTCGACTCTTTGGAAAACAGTTCTCTGCAGTTTTCCTGTAAAATTGAAATTGGAAAGAATCCCTCTCCAATTGTGGCTCGGGATTCTACATCATCATCAGGTGTGCGTGATGCTGAGCTGAAGAATATTGGAGTGGGCGAATATCCAAGTAATAGAAGAATTTTTGGGTTTTCCATTGTTGACATGCCTCACACCTCCAAGGATCTAACTTCTCTGAGCCCCACCTTGAAGTCTGATGGCCCTGCTTCTGAAGTTGATGGTGACAGTATTAGGAAAGGTTTGGCTCATGATCCCAAATCTGGTGATCAGCATAAAATGAATGATCTTGTTACAGAGAAGGGACTAGGTAATTACATTTCAGGTTTGAAACATCACATTGATCTGAACTTGTGTCTAAATGAAGAAGAGGATTCAACAGCACCCTCTCTCCCAAGATCCATTGTGAAGATTGCTACCACTGAGATAGACTTGGAGGCTCCAGCAGTTCTTGAATCTGAAACAGACCTATCTCTTGAAGCAGATTCCTCAGGTGGCCAACTTAAGAAGCCTTCAGAATTGTCAATAGATGACTCTAAGGAATCTCATGAAGAACTTGTTAGAATTGCGGCTGAGGCTATAATCGACATCTCATCATCTGGTTATCATGTGGATATTGCCCATCCTCATTCGCCAGAAGCTTCTTGTTTTCAATCTCTCCATTGGTTTGCAGATTTAGTTTCTTCTTGTGAGGGGAATAACGAGGGCGAGGTCAAATCAGTTTCCATGGATACTAATGGTCCCTGCCATGAAGAGTCCATTTCTGATGGGATGGATTACTTTGAGTTTATGACATTACAGTTGACAGACACCAAGGTGGAGGAGTGCTCCTATAAGCCTCCAGTCTTGGAGAATCAGAAATGTGAAGAAACATCACTTTCAGTGCCAAAACGACCTCGCAAAGGTCAAGCAAAGAGGGGGAGGCAGCAAAAGGACTTTCAAAGAGATATACTGCCTGGTCTTGTTTCTTTGTCCAGGCACGAGGTCACTGAAGATCTTCAAATAATTGAAGATCTCTTTAGAGTCAGTGGTTGCACTTGGAACTCTAGTCTGTCACAGAAAAACTTTACCAAGAGCCGTAGGCGGAGGAAGAATTCAGGAGTTTCAGCTCCCTCTCTGGCAGCAAGTGCAATTGTCCCACCAGCAGTACAAGAACCTATTTACACAGGACTTGGACTCGAGGGGAGAAGTTTAACAGGATGGGGAAAAAGGACAAGGCGTTTGCCAAGGCAGAGATGTCCAGCTGATAATCCTAGTCTTGCTATAAAATGTTGAGACACGACCTCAGTTTTTCTTTTTCAATGCGGAAATGAAGAATGGGCAAGATCAGCAGGGGAGTGGTGGATCCATTATTGTGGCCCCGAGTTCAGAAAAGTTTCTTCGCTTCCCCCCCTCTCTCGATCGAGTCATTGTCTTGGCAACGGATTACTTCTCTGAACCATGGATATGATGTTGCGCATTAATATGTAGACTTAAGTTTGTGTTGCTTCAAGATGTCGGTCTTCTGAGTGAACTTGTAAATTTGTCAGGAATAATGTTGGATTCTTCTCTACGGGGACAAACAGCATTTGTTGAGTTGTGTGTAATGTGTAAATGAAAAGGATGGTATAGAAGATTTGGGCGACCCTCGCCTCATATTTAGTTTTATATCAATGTCTATATATCTGTTATTAACAGGATCCATTTCCTGTTGGGACCTTGGGTTCGTCTTTGAAACTTTGAACTTCTACACTATTCATCTGTTCTGTGATTGATGATATTATGCGCATTGCTTTTGATGAGCAGTGTTTTTCCTGCCTCAGACTGTGTAGTTACTGTTAGCTTTTTACACTTTTGGTGCTTACGATTTTCAAAATGTGTTTACAAAGGTAGGAGGCATTCTTGTTAGTACCGACTCTGGGTTACCCAAAATAAAAAAATTTCCCTTTGGGGATGTCTGGGACACTTTGTTTCATGCCTTTTTTAACTCAGAACTATGACAATGTTCCCCATAGATTTGTTCCCCATAGATTTTTGAATGTAAATACCGAAAAACCTAACATGGAAAATACAAAAATGTTTGTCCTTCAATGAAGTGTGATCAAATAGTATCCAAGTCCCAAATCAAGTTAGATTTGTCCCATGCAGACTTTATTGGTTTCAACTAGAATAAAGCAGAGGAGGAGCTTTCTGATTGTAAACCAATAAAGTCTTGAACTTGACCATACATCAAGGTTTGTCCCATGTAGACTTTATTGGTTCCCACTAGAATTGAGTGGCTTGAACTTTCACCATACGTCAAGGTCCATCATTTATGAGTGATACGTTTCTTATTATTTATACGTGTGTGACTAAAATAGTAAAATATTATATTACATTTGAGGGTCTCATCATTTATGTGTGTGCCTTTCATATGTGTGAATTATGCCGACTATCATAGTACAACACTTGTGTATTGTAAATAAGGGGAGCCACGATTTCAATTGAAGGAAAAAAAAAAAAAAAAAAATCAATAACTAATATTGAAACAATGTGCAAAGAAAAGTTTTAAAAAGAAAATAAAAGAAAGAAAATAAGAAAACTTTGAAAGGAAACAAATTAGAATTTGATTCAAAGAAATGAAAATTAAAAGAATTAAAAAGGTAAAAGAAATAAAAAATTAAGAGATAATATTAAAAATTTAAAATTTGAAGGGACACACTATATAGAATTTTTGATATATACTCTAAAAAAAAAAAAAAATGCATATACTACAGTGGGCTGAGCGGAGCCAGATTAGGGCTACAACTTGGGCTGGCTCAACGCAATCCAATCCTAATCCAACCTCAACCCGAATCAGGTTGGGTTGGGTCAACCCGAATTATACTCAACATGAGTTATGGTCATAACTCGGACCGAATATTTTCGGGCAAGTTGGGTCAGGTGATGGGTTGAGTTTTTTTTTTTTTTAACCCCGAAAATTTATATATATATATATATATATATATATATATATACATATAATATTATATTATATATATTATATATATTTGATTATATTATTATAAAAAAACAAAATATTTTTAGGGCAAATCATTTCAGGCGCATCGCCTCCGTCTCTATTCTCTCTGAACTTGCCGTCTCTCTCTCCCTCTCCATCTGCAACCACAAAATCTACAAGAATCAGAAGTTGAAAACCCATATATTTCAGTTTTATCTATTTGTCTACAAGAATCAAAAGTTAAAAACCCATATCAGCATATCATTTCAGATTGTTCAAAAAATCAAAACCCAGATCTGTCAGTTTCCATCGCTCGCTGTTCCAGTTCGGGTTCGTCGTTCGCAAGCTTCAGCCGTTGTCTCTCAACTCTCAAGCTTGCCCCCCTCTTTCTATGCAACTGCTAAGTTGTATGTATGGGTTTTGTTTCAGTTTTATCTATCTCTCAGTTTTATCTATCTCTCATGCTTCAGCCACTTGTCTATCAACTCTCAAACCCATATATTTCAGTTTTATCTAACTTGTATGTATGAGCGGCGGCGGCGGTGACGGCAGCAGAGCGGACGGCGGAGAGAGAAAGAAGAGAGAGAGGAGAGAGATGGGTTTCGGGTTGGGTTCGGGTTGAGCTCGAGCCTAATCCAAATATGTCTGAATTTTGACAAAATTCAACACAAATATGAACCCGATTTGTGAATCTAAAACTCAAATTTTAAATTTTCGGGTTAGACTGGATCATCCGCCCAAATTGCAGCAGCCTAGGGCACGTTCCTAGAGAGTACACCCATAAATTAATAAATACGGACTAATAAATAATAATTAAAAAAATTCCCATAATCTAAACAATAATCTTCCATTTAACGAATACGTGGTATATACATAAACTGTGTAAGTGCGAGGATATAAATTATAAAGAGAGAGAGTGTCGAAGTCTTCTGCTTCTGTGAAGTTCCAAAATGCTTGCTTCCCCTTCTGGGTGTAGATTTCTGAATCCAAGAAATACTTTTTCATTGATCTAAGTTACTCTAAGCTCAATATAGATATGAATGTTCTCTCATCTGGGTTCTATTCATTGTTCAAGAAAAATAACCCATTACTCTGTTCTAAACCTTTTGTGACTCCAAATTGCAAATGCCCACACCAATCCGAGCCCCAACACGGTTTTCCACACGCAGACTCTTCGAAAAAACGCTATCAGACCTTCACAAGTGCACCAATCTAAACCATTTGAAGCAAGTTCACGCGTATATATACAGAGCCAATCTTCACGATGACCCTTTCGTCGCGCCCAAACTCATCGCCTCGTTCTCGCTGTGTCGCCAAATGGTATTAGCAGTTAACGTTTTCAATCAAATACATGAACCCAATGTTCATTTGTATAATACTTTGATCAGAGCTCATGTGCAGAACTCTCAGCCCTCACAAGCTTTCGCGGCTTTCTTTCAAATGCAAAATTGTGGCGTTTACCCAGATAATTTTACACACTCATTTCTTTTGAAGGCCTGTTCCGGTCAATCTTCGTTGCGAATTGTTCAAACAATTCACACCCACGTAGAAAAATATGGGTTTTATTCAGATATATATGTTCCCAATGCGTTAATCGATAGCTATTCAAGGTGTGGTCTGGAAGGCGTTAGTGCGGCGAGGAAGTAAGGTGTGGTCTGGAAGGCGTTAGTGCGGCGAGGAAGTTGTTTATGGTGATGGAGGAACGAGATATTGTTTCTTGGAATTCAGTTATTGGTGGGTTGGCGAAAGCGGGTGATTTGAAAGAAGCTCTTAGGTTGTTCGATGAAATGCCGGAGAGAGATTCAGTGAGTTGGAATACGATATTGGATGGGTATGCGAAAGCTGGAGAGATGGATACTGCATTTAAATTGTTTGAGAAGATGCCTGTCAGGAATGTTGTGTCTTGGTCAACAATGATTTCGGGTTACAGCAAAGCCGTGGAGATGGAGATGGCAAGAATGTTGTTTGAGAAGTTGCCTGTCAAGAATTTAGTTCCTTGGACTATAATAATATCTGGGTATGCTGAAAAGGGACTTGCAAAGGAGGCAATTGGTTTCTATGATCGAATGGAGGAAGCTGGATTAAAGCCTGATGATGGGACTGTTATTAGTATATTGGCTGCTTGTGCAGAGTCTGGTTTGCTTGGATTGGGTAAGAGAGTTCATACTTCTATAGAGAGGAGCAGATATAAGTGTAGTACTCATGTGTTGAATGCTTTGATTGATATGTATGCAAAGTGTGGCAACTTGAACGGGGCATTAAATATATTTAATGGGATGGCAAAGAAAGATCTGGTTTCCTGGAATGCCATGATACAAGGGTTAGCCATCCATGGACATGGCGAAAAGGCACTTTATCTTTTTTCTAGAATGAAGGAAGAAGGTTTTGCACCTGATAAAGTGACCTTTGTAGGTATCTTATGTGCTTGTACTCATGCCGGGTTTGTTAACAAGGGTCTGGATTACTTCTATACAATGGAGAGAAATTACGGGATTGTTCCACAAATTGAGCATTATGGTTGCATGATCGATCTTTTAGGACGTGGGGGACGTCTTGAGGAAGCTTTTAGACTTGTGCATAGCATGCCAATGGAACCAAATGCCATTATTTGGAGTACTGTTTTAGCGGCCTGCCGAATGCATAATGCTGTTGAACTTGCAGAGAAGGTGGTAGATCGCCTGGTTAAATTGGAACCGACAAATGCAGGAAATTTATCTATGTTGTCGAATATCTATGCTGCAGCAGGGGATTGGGGAAGTGTTTCTAATGCAAGGCTGCGGATGAAGAACACAGGCACCCAAAAGACTTCAGGAGCTAGTTCAATTGAGATGGATGATGAGATTCACGAATTCACTGTGTTGGATAAATCACACCCTAAATCACATAGGATATACAAGACGATTGATTTATTGTGTGAGCATCTTAAGCAAGTTGGTTATATTCCAGAGGCATGCTCCTAAAATTTATTGCAAATAACGATGGAGGTGGGCAGGCTGCTAAAGATGATACTTAGCAGCATGTCCACAAAATGTCCTGTTCTGCAAGAGTGAGCTCAATACTGTATTTTCATGGATTATGTTGGGTTCATGCTTTCTTGTAGATTCCTGGAAATTTGATTGAATTTCAAGTGGAGTTTTGAAAAGGGTATATAATTGTGATTAGACCTTTGAGGTAAATTTCTGCTTTTCTTAGTAATTTAAAGCCTTTGATTTTATTTATTATTATTATTTTCATTTATGGGTTTGTGGAGTTCTATGGTTCTCTTGCTTGATTGTGCGGTTGATTTTCTCTCTTGATTCTATTATTGATTTCCAATATGATGGATTATCGGAATTTGATTTGAGTAATTGTTTTATGCAATTTTGTTTATGCATATAAAGAAAAGAATTTAGTTGGCACTCTGCATACAGGGTTTTTGATGATAGGGGTCTGAGGTTTAATAGGTTATTTAATTGGAATTTATTTTTTCATGAAAGTTGATGCTACTCTAATCTTATTTTTGGTTTTTAGCATTTCACAGGGTTTATGTTAGGTTTTAACTAAAAGACGTAACATCTATCCTTCTTTTGTAATCATGATGACATCTCATTATCTTTGTTTTGTGCAATCAAATTGTTTATGCATAAAATTGTATGTGGATTCAATTATCATCAGATAAATTGAATTGATGATGATGAATACAATCACATCTCTGTTTAGTGATCTAACTTTAGTTCTTCCTTTGACATTTGTTCACTGTGATTCTGTGAAGGTAATTCTTTTTCTGATAAATAACTGTGAAGGTAAAACTAGTAGATCAGAGAAAGAAAAAATAAAAAAAAATTTTTTTTTTCGAAAGATATTGATCTACTATGTAAATGTGTTGGTCCGGATTACCTACTAGTGTACTATGTAATAACTAAAAACTATTAAGTAATAACTAAGAAATTTGTGATAAATTTTTAGTGAAGAATTCAACTTTTACAGTATTAATATATGCTGGAACTATTTACTGATGATTACTATGTAAATGCTCAATTCATACATTATACACTTTTTGGAAATGATATTATTTGCTTGATTTTCTTGAGCTTGTGGAAAGCATGTTGTGCAAGAAATTTTTTGACCGCGGTGTTTGAAAATGATATTATAAGCTTGATATTTAAGGATTTATATTGACAGTCAAGAAACTGCCTCTTCAGTGAGTGCATTTAAGTTCCCGTTCCTTTATTGCATATATAGAGACTGAAAGTGATGTATGTTTCATTCACAATAAGGTCAATGAATTGAGATCTTTCTTGGGTTGGCAAATTTATTATCGTCGTTTAATTGAAAGTGAGCTCCTTGCAGAATTTGGGTGCCAAAGGCATTCTAATGCCTCTCGTTCTTTGGGATTGTTGAAATTCTTCTTCTGCAGCTCTCAAATATTCAATTACAGATCTTGAGCTCCTTTTCTTCTCAAGGACTTGGTTAAACTAAATTAAGTGGCTGCATATCAGGTCTCTAGCAGGAATTTTGAGAGATCATTGTGGACTTATCCGGTTCATTATTCTAGACTAGGGGACTTAAACAGAGCTAAACTTGGAGCTCTTCTCTTTGTCTCAGCGAAAGGGGGAGTGTGAAGAAGTAACTGCACAAGACGCACATATACCAAAATTCATAGGTCAGCTTGTGAGTTAGCTATAGAGTTCTCGGTTAATTTTGAAGCAGTTTTTGGTCCATTGTTCACACTACCCCCAGATGAGTTGATGTCTTTTGTTTGACCCCATGCACCAGTTCACCAGGTAAGTGATGTTGCTGGCAGAGGCAAACTCCCGTGTCACCATTTTCGTACTCTTCCTTGTTCCTAGGGCTTGGGTGGTTAATACATCAAACAGTTATTCCTTTCTTGTTGCCCATGGACTTCACTTTGGAAATTCTTGTTTTCCTTGATAGTAGTCAATGAAATTTAGAATTTTGGGGGAGTTTGTTGTGATTGATGCACCAATATAGTTTTTAGCCAGCAAGGTCAGATGTTTCTGTTTGATGTTACATTCTTTTCTTGAAGCTATCCATTTTTTCCTTTCTTGAAATTTTCATTGGTTAACTCTCTTTCTGAAATATTTGCTTCCTGTTGTTTTTCTTTCCTTTTTGGAAAACAAACAGCGCAGAAACACTGTCCTGGTTGCTAATAGGGATTAATGCCGAAGCAGCAGAACCAAAACTATGTTCAGAAATCTGATTTTTCCTAAACAACCTGAGAGCAACATTTTTTTTTTTCTTTAATTTCCACTCTTTTTTTTTTGGTCATATTTGCTTGTAATGCAAAGGATATCATTCACGTAGTTGATGAAGATTTTGTCACTACAAGGTTATGGCTTGAAGATTGATCTAAAATGCATGGAGTGACTGTTAAATACCTTAATATATCAGCTAATTCATTGTAGTCCTTATTCTTGCACTGCTGACATTCTATGCACAAGCTGTACTAATATAGTTTAGAGAGTTGAACTTTGTCGAAGAAGAATTTTTGTTACAAATACCATTTTGTCCATTTTAAGGATGAGATATTTCCTATATATATATATATATATAATCTCTAGATTGCTTTCCTTCAATATGCACGTAAGTACTAATATGGAAAGATTCAGGTTCTACTTGCTCTTGAAGATCTAGTATAGTGATTTTCATCGATGTTTCTTCCAGTATCTATGTTACCATTGCATGAATTGATTTTGGTAGTTCTGCTGAGTGCATTTACAACATTGAGGTTGCAATTTTATTATATTCTCATACTGTTGTAATCCATTATTTTATATGTTTCCATATCAGACCAGTAACATTTATTTATTTAGTTAGCACCAGGAACTCACCTAGGCAGGGCCCCTTCGGGACCCACCCTAGGCTACAAACCTGGGGGTGTAGAGCCCCGCCCCAAGGATACACCGGGTAAGTCGGAGAAATTGGAAGGCTTGGTAGGAGTCGAACACTGGCCGATTGGATGCCAGCCCCGAGCCCCTACCATCACTGCCAAGCCCCCGGGGGCACCAGTAACATTTATTGTTTTGATTGCAGGAATGGTAACTGAAATACAATCCAAAACATATATTCCAGGATACCATTGCATGAGGAATCTCAATGATAGTGCAGGCAGTGATTTTTGGGCTATTTGTCATGAAGAAAGAACCTTGAAGAATGGCCAGAATTACGACTTTCTCTTGACAAGGCCGTTCGTAGATGGATATTTGGGGTGTGAAAAGGAACAAATGATGCAAAATATTTTGAAGCATGAATCAATATTTAGGCATCAGGTATGCATATCTCATCATTCTCTCTTGAACTATGAAGTCTGATCTGCAATGCTTTTTAAAATGACTTTCTGAAACATTCTGTAATGATGTATTATTTTAAGTTCCTGATTAGTTGTTCCATATTATGACTCCTATTTTTCTGAGCATTCAAATGAGTTTGATAGATTAAGAAATAAAGTCCTCTCATTTGGCAAATATGGCTCTATAGTGTAATGCGTTATGATCATCCAGCTCCAAGAACTCCACCATATTTATAAAAGACAGCAGGACTTGATGAATGAAATTGGAAGAAGCGCACACAAACATTTAATACCAGCAGAAACATCACAGCCAAGTCTCTTTTTTCCTCGAATTCCTTCTGAAGATGCCAAAAAGACGTGTCATGTTTCTAATTTGCCCTTTGGAAATGCAAGTAGCATACAATCCCCTCTTGGTTTGATGAATCGGCAGAATATGTCAGATCCTTTTCTTTTTTTAAGGCGTAGTAACTTTTAAGAATGGTGAATCTTTGGAGTGTAAACACAACATGTTTCAGAAAAAAAATGTTCAACCTGAACTTACCACTGATCTATACATGCATAACAAAGGAAAACAGCTAGAAGAAAGAGTTTTTAGAGTGTCAGGGATGGAGAGTTACCCTCTTAGCAAAAATTTTGAGGTCACATGTAGGAGAGATTGAAACTTGTCTGTTGGTAGTGGTTTGAGCTTTGGCTGTAATGGTGGGGCTTCGAGATGTGATCTGTTTCCAAGGAGATCCATGATATGGCTTATCTGAATGAACCCATCCGGGTTGAGAAAACATCTGCTTCAATTTCTTTTAATAATTTAGGCAATATCACCTGCCTTGAAGAGGAGATATGAAGGTGAGATGTACTTGTCAGCTTAAATTCAACACTTTCTTACCAAAAGGGATGGGACGAATTAGCCTAGAAAATTTGCATTCAGAGAATGAAAGGGACCCAAAAGGGCTGTTAATTTGTAATGTTGAAGCTGGTAAGAATTTCTTACTCTCTTTCTTTGTTTTTATATTTTTAAGGTGTGGTCGTTTTCATACCTCATGGTTCTTTTACCATAGTTTCTAGTTTCTTGTTTCAGTCAAAACAATGCTACTTGTAAACTGTTCAGTTGTTTCTTGGTAATTGCTTGCTCGTGCTATTCTGTTTTGATCTGAACTGCTGATAAGAAGGATTAATCTGGTCCTCAATCCTGTATAATTTGATTTGGCTAATGCATTTTTCAGGAAAAAATAGATGCGACACCAATTCGTTCTGGGAGTTGTCCATCTATTGAAGTCTGCTACACCATTTAAGTCCTTACAAGTAGAGCCTGGGAAGCCTTTAAAACTCCTACCTGATAAGTGTAAGATTGAAGCTCTGAGGAGGAGGAAAATTTTTGGTGTAGAAATTCCTGAAGGAAACCATGATCAATGCACTGTGGCTTCACATACTCCCTCTCTGAAACCAGTTATTCCTCAGTCCGATGTTGTGATACCCCACATTTCCACGTGTAGGCTGGCCAGGCCCACACCCGAAAACATGGGAATATCAAAACAATTTAGTATTTAAACGAACACAGAATACAAGAAGAATAAAAAGAATGAATAAATCGCTGAATGAAATTCTATTAAATCATTTTAAACAAAATAAAAGTAATTAATTTCAATTAATAAATCCTTTAAAATATCGGGGTATTACAGATGTGGCCAACGGTGTGTCATCCACTGTCTCACCATGTCAAAGCCTCTCCAAGTATCTTGAGTCAGTATCTGATATCAGTTCAAGAAAACCCTTGTATTAACAGCTCTAATCTATTCAATAAGAGTTCTAATACATTGATGCAAATCCCAGAGTTTGTTGAAGTCAAGATGCATATTGATTCAAGATCAACCTCGAGTTTAAGAGTTAAAGAATCCTACCAAAATGGTTTTTGTCTTGGTTCCCAGTCCGATGCCAATCAATTACCCTGCTACTCACCTATTGGAGTTGGTTCCCCATGTGGCATCAACGACAGTATTTCATGGACTGCACAATCGGTACCACATGGTCCTATGAAATACTTTGAGGGATCAGACTCACTTCACTACAGGTTTCAGCACGGGGTGATTCCTCAACAAAATCCTGGATCCATTGATGCGCGGAAGGGGGAGGCAGCAAAAGGACTTCCAAAGAGACATACTGCCTGGTCTTGTTTCTTTGTCGAGGCATGAGGTCACCAAAGATCTTCAAACAATTGAAGATTTATTTAGAGTCGGTAGTTGCACTTGGCACTCGAGTCTGTCCCAGAGAAACTTTCCCTAGTACCGTAGGCGGATGAGCAATTTGAGGTTACTGCTCCCTCTCTGGCAGTAACTGCAGTTAGTCCGCCACCAGTACAGGAACCTATTTACACAGGACTGGGACTCGAGGGGAGAAGTTTAACAGGGTGGGGGAAGAGGACAACGTGTTTGCCAAGGAAGAAATGTCCAGCTATAAAATGTTGAGACAGGACCTCGGCTTCATTTTTAATGCAGAAATGAAGAACAGACAAGCTCAGCGGGGGAGTGGAGGGTCCATTATTGTGGCCTTGTTCGTTTATGTTGGCCCCAAGTTCAGAAAAGGATGGTATGGAAGATTGGGTGACCCTAGCCTTATATTTAGTTTTACAGGCGTGTCTATATACATTTCTCTTATTAACAGCATCCATTTCTTGTGGGGAGCTTGTAATCGTCTTTGAATATTTTAATTTTTACACTATTTATCTGGGCTGTGATTGATTTTCTGTCCAATGCTTCAATGCATTCGGATTTTGCGGCCTTTATCAAACATGATTACCAGAAGTTGGCGCAGGTGTTATGACTCCTTTTCTTAAAAGAAAATTGTATTTTTTTTTCCCACTTATAATCAAGGCATAAGATCAAGAATCATTGCAGGCATTTGAAGAAAATGGTCGAAGTGGATTTCCTCCGTTTTGGAGGGATCCTGTGCACCACTTTATGTAATAAATAACGTCGTTTTGGTGCATAAATAGAGAGTTCAAAACAAGTCTCGTACTCAAAACAACATAATTTTAGTGCACAGGATTACTCCAAACAGTAACATCGTTTTACTGCACATCCTTGGAGTCCAAAACGAGCCTTGCACCCAAATAACTAATTTTAGTGCACATGATTCCTCCTATTATTAGGGGATCATGGTCTTTAAAAATATCAAAGTAGTGATACTTAAAGAGGAGGAGTGGGGGCTGGGATCCAAGTCTTGAACCTAACTAAATCTGTCCCATGTAGACTTTATTGAGAATAAAGCCCGAGAAGATTGTGGTCCATGATTTATGAGTGCATCAAGGGTAGTACAAAAAATATTGTATTTTATTCTCATCACTTACATGTGATCGTTTATATACGTGAATATCCTAAAATATGAAGTGGCATTATATTTCAAGATTGTCATCACTTACTCATCACTTACACATGATCGCTAAATATTTTAGGGCATTCAATGCAATATAACATTTGTCTAATAAAATTTTGACTCCCATGAATTAATGGTAGTAATTCGTATAATTTAAATCTTTTCAAGAAGTCCATGTGCATGTTATATAATTTTTTAACATAATTAAATATGTTTTCAAAACATTATATTTAACCAAAATGAGTTGGAAATTAGCGTGTTAAAATAAAATTAAAAATGTTGAAAAATAAAATTATATGGGTTGAAAAACAAAATTAATGTAGTTGACAAATCATATCACCTCTGCAGAAGAGGATCCTAGGAAAGCATTTTGTAGTTCTTTGATTAGGATTTGGGCTAAACACCAATCTTTCCGTTAACGAAATTGACCAATAGCCCAGCTTACCCGCCAAAAAAAGAAATCTATCGTCTTTACATGAACTGTGATGCGTGTGTACATATAGAGAGAGAGTGGCAAAGTTTTCTGCTTACGTGAAGTTCCAAAATGCTTGCTTTCCTTTTGGGTGTAGCTTTCTGAATCCAAGAAATACTTTTTCATTGATCTAGTTACTCTAAGCTCGATATAGATATGAACGTTCTCTCTTCCGGGTTACATTCATTATTCAAGAAAAACTACCCATTACAATTCATCAAACTTCATTGTTCGTCTTTCTCTAACTTAACTGTAGAAAAAACACTCTTCCATTCGCGAGAGAATTTTGCTTTTCATTTGGAGAACTGTTCAGATATAGTTTCTCTGAGAAAGCTTCATGCTTGCATTTTCACTTCTGGGCTCCAAAACAACATCTTTTTGGGCTCTAAGCTTCTCAATTGCTATGCCAAGTTTGGCTTCTTGACTGAATCTAGATGGGTATCTGATAAGATCATCAATAACAATCTCTCTCTTTGGAATTCAATTCTTGTTGGGTATTTTAGAGCTGGTCAATTCAGTGAAGTTCTTAGGCGATATTTAGATTTAAGAAAGAGAAAGATTGGTGTGGATAGTTCAGCCATTACTTTTGCATTGAAGAGTTGTATTGAGTCGGGGAATTTAGAATTTGGAAGAGTGATTCATGTGGATGCTTTCAAATTTGGTTGGAATGTTGACCAATTTGTGGGTTCATCACTCATTGGGTTGTATTCTGAATATGGTGATATTGATGATGCATCTAAAGTGCTCGATGAAATAACTGAGAGAGACATTGTTGCTTATACGTCAATGATTACAGGGTATGCCAATGTTGGTGATCACCGTGCCTATGAGGCTTTTAGAATTGCTCGTCGTATGCAGGAGGAAGAACTCTGTCCTAATCGAGTGACTTTAGTGAGCTTACTTCAGGCGGCGGCACACTTAGAAGCCCTGGAAGAGGGTCGGTCTCTCCATGGCTATGCTATTAGAAGAGATATTGGATGTTCAGATGAAGTTTTTGAAACAAGTCTAATGGACATGTATATCAAGTGCGGAGCCACAGATACTGCAGCCTCAATTTTTGGCAAAATGAGCACAAAAAGTGTTGGTTCTTGGAATGCATTGATTGCTGGGCATCTTCAAATGGGGCAGCCATTAAAAGCTTTGGACCTTTTCTTTAAATTGGTGCAAGAGGAGGTGAAGCCTGATTTGATTACTTTAGCGAATGGGATTTTGAGTTGTGCTGATTTGGAGTGTTTGTGTATAGGCAAGAGTATCCATTGTTACATGATTCGAAGTGGAATTCAGCTCGATCTAGTTGCTGCCACAGCTCTAATCGATATGTACTCGAAATGCAACAACTTAATACAGGCCAGGAAAGTCTTTACGGGAATGGAGGAAAAGGATGTTGTTTCACTTAATGTGATGATGGCAGGTTATCTTCAAAATGAATTTGCTTGTGAGGCGATAAGGACATTATATGAAATGATTGGAACAGGTATTAAACCAAATGCTAGTACTATTTTAAGTATACTTTCTGCCTTGTCTGATATGAAAGACGCGAGTCATGGCAGATGTGTTCATGGATATGTATTCAGACATGGGTTCGAATTGAACATTGAAATATCAAATCAACTCATTCACATGTACGCAAAGTGTGGGTGTATAGACTTTTCAAGGCAAGTCTTCAACAGGACAAATTACAGGGACTTGGTGTCATGGACATCAATGATGATGGGCTATGTATCTCATGGGCGTGCTGATGAAGCCATAGCCTTTTTTCGTCTGATGCAAAGAGATAAAGTAAACCCTGACTCCCTCACTTTAGTTAGCCTGCTTAAGGCGTTTTCTCAGGTTGGATGTCTAAATCTGGCGAAGGAAGTTCATTGTCATATATATCGGGTTTCTATGGAGACTGAGATGCCCGTTGTCAATTCTCTGGTTACTACTTACGGCAAATGTGGAAAATTGAACTTGGCTAGAAATCTGTTTGAACACATGACTGGTCGGTGTTTGACATCATGGAACACGATGCTAGCTGCATATGGGATGCATGGGGATTATAGCGAGGCACTTAAATTGTTTGACCAAATGAAAAAGGAAAACGTTGCACCAAATGAGGTGACTTTCATGTCTATACTCTCTGCTTGCAGCCATTCAGGCTTGGTTGAAGAGGGCCTGCATATTTTCAGGTCCATGAAAGAAGAATATTCTTTAGTTCCTTGTGAAGAGCATTATGGTTGTATAGTTGATTTATTAAGCCGAGCAGGGAAGATTGAAGAAGCGTATGATCTTCTGAAATGCCTGCCATCAAGACATAGTGCTTCTGCATTGGGCTCCTTGCTTGCTGCTTGTAGAGTTTACGAAAATAATGAAATGGGGGAGGTGATAGGAAGGAGACTCCTAGATTTAGAGCCTGAGAACCCAAGTGTGTATGGTTTGATGTCAAATATATATGCAGAAGGTGGAAAATGGGATGAAGTGGCGCGAATTAGAGCCATGGCACAAGGGAGAGGCTTGAAAAGGACTCCTGGATATAGCCTGATAGACTTAGATAAGCAGGTAGGTGAAGTGAGTATCTCGGCTGTCAATTAAAAGTTTTTCTTTATCTCTCACACCTAAGCTTCAGCACTATTGACTGTGATTCAATCCCAGTCAAATGTGTAAAATTAATTGGACGAGTGTACCAAATAGTGGTGGTAATTACTCACAGATTCTTTCTGCTGTTAAGAGTTTAGTCAGTCATTAATGTTACCATATTTCTGATTTATAGTAAAAGAAAGTTGCTAGTGACTCTCAGTTTACATCTTAGTATGTCATCATAATTTATAGCTTTAATGGAGTTTCTGGTTTTGTAAACATCCCTGAAATTGCAATTGATTATTTCCCTTTCAGTTTGTTACATACTAATGTATTCATATTGTTGTTTGCTCATGTAGCTATATGCCAACACTGGATCATAATATATATATATATATATATTTTTCTTAGTTGGTACTCACACACACATGCCTCCATTGAGATTCGAATCCCTGACCTCCCTTTGGGAAGTAGTGGCCTGGTACCTCTAAGGCACAGGTCTGTTGGATCATAATTTACTTTTTATAGAAGAGAGGAGGAATGATCTGCTGAATGTGTATATACAAGTGATAACCAATTCTTACTTGGTCTTTGAAATCAATAAAGGGTAGATTTACAAACAGTTCTTACAGCATAATGCAGAAACACCAACAATTACAACAGTTCCATTTATTCTAATATTCTGCGTCAATAATCAATGAATTTCAATCAAAACCACCACCAGCTAAGGACCATCTTTCTGCTTCAACAGAGATTTGATGATGTCCATCAAGACTTTCTCAGAGCTCCCACCAACTTCACAAGCCTTCTTAGCCTCTTCTTCAACCTTCTTAGCCTTATCCCTCAGGTTCTCATTCCCCATAAACTCTTGCACCCTCTCACCAATCTCTTCACCCATCACAACCCTTTCTCCACCCCAACCCCATTCTTTTATCCACATCCCCAGCCCTGCATTATCTACCACCTCTGCGTTCATCCTGTGATCCCCGTGTTGAGGCCATCCCAACATAGGTACTCCGTGCCTGGCTGCTTCCGTCACTGAGTCCCACTCACATTGGTTGATGAACCCTCCAATGGCAGGGTGTGTCAGAATTGCTTCCTGGTTCACCCACCCCGTCATTACCATCCCTTTGTTCTTTGTTCTTTGGAGGAACGAATCACCTAGCAATTCTCGAAGCTCTTCATTTGCATTTTCAACCACTTTGTTGGTTTTCAGTACCCACAAAAACGCAAGTGCGCTTCTCTCCAAACCATTTGCTAGCTCTCTTACTTGATCCTTTGACATGGGTGTTCTGTTTCCAAAGCTGACATACACTACAGAATCAGCAGGCTGGTCATCTAGCCATGGAAGATGAAGGACTTTTTCGAGCTCATAAGGTTCTAATGGCCCAATTGGAAGAACAGGTGGGAGATCACTTAAAACTCTGCCATCATTGAGAGCAGCAATTGTCTCCTGTTCAAGCCAGTTGAAGTCAGTCAATAAGACACCTTTTACTTTTGGAAGAGAGAGAGCATTTGGTATTAAGTAGGCTGTTAATAGATGATTAGATGGTGAATCATCTAGCCATGATGGTGGAATGAGTGATTTTGGTAGTGGTGCTAAACCAGGGATCTTGACATCTTCGAAGCTGTCACTATTTTTAGAAGTGGTTTTGGACATTAGTACAGGAAGATAGGCCACTGTGGAATAACATCGAGCAGAGGTAGTGGAGACAATGTAGTTGGGAATGCCAAGTTCAGCTACTATTTGAGTTAGACTAGCAGATGCTACGAAATCAGAAAAGATGGCAGAGACTGGTTGAGGTAGAGAAGATAGCAGGGGATGAAGGAGGTGTACAGAGCGATTAATGTCTTCAACTTGGGTAATAAAAGGGTCATTAGTGGTATAACTGGAGGTGTCACAGTGAATGATCTGAAACTCGTGATGCTTGATGTTCGGGTAACAGGAGAGGAAGATAGTGAGTTGGGTGGACTCTGCAGCATCGACTATTGGTTGTATGGTGATGACAGTGACCATACAGTTATGTGAAGATACCATGGCTGCAAGCCTGAGAAATGGGGTCAAATGGCCCATGCCAGGGCTTGGGAAGAACACAATGTGAGGAGGTTCTGCTTCAATGTTACTGGAGTTTGACATTATCAGTCTATGATTATGGGAGTGTAATTTTGATATGGAGTTGAACACTTGAGTAATGAAGGTCACACTTTCTCTACATGGTCTTATATTTTCTCATTTTTGTTCCTGGCCATATTACATGTTCTTGTTTGCTAGTTTGTGGAATTATAAAAGGAATCAAATTCAGCATTTGCAATGATATATTACTAAACCATATTGTGGTGTGATTCAGTGGTCCCGTGAAAGATCTTCCATCTGCAAATTCCTTTTTTTATTTCCAAATGGTGAATTATATAATCATCTTAGGACATCCTCCTTGCATATATATATGTTTCACTGTTCTCTGATAGCTTCCCTATCTTTACTTTCTCCTTCCACCACCATCATCACTATTATGGTTATCATTCTATGCATTTCATATAGTTTGATATGGGATTGTTTGTGGGTTCATGTTTGTTGTTTTGTCAGCTGCAAGGATCAAATGGAAATTGACCGGAGATAATCAATAGGAAGATTATCATCAAGGTCAAGTTCGTACTGTCTGGATAACTGACTGATGCAGATATACGGAGATGTGAACAGGTGGGCAGCTACAAATATTGTGAGGACCATCGCATTATATAATACGAGGAAGCCATCATCCTAGTCAGCTGGATTAGACTTTTGTATGTATCTCTATCTTACCTCCACCTGAGTGCATTGCCAATATGCTTCGTTTGTATGTAGAATACTTGAATACTGCACAAACAATGTCAATTTTTCAATCTTTCTTGTTTGATAAAATTTCTGGAAATGTTGCCCAACTTTTTTCATGGTTTTAGAGTGACCAATTGTAGCGTGCTCTCTAATTCTGTCTAACGGTTCAACTTAATGATTTAACCATTCGATTTTTTTTTTTGAAATTTATTTAACCATTCGATTTGCATGCCAGATTGTGAAGCTTTCATGTAAAAAAAACCTCGGTTCCAAAGATGTAACCAAATCAAAGGCCTAAAAATAAAATGTCTTGAATTGCTCAACCATGAACAATCTACAACATAGAAGAAATATGATCAAATTTTATAAATGTAAGACAATATGATCGGGACTGTAACGATCCAAAATACACCAAAATAATAATAATAAAAAAAAATTCGGTATGACCTCCTCATAAAATGTTCCTCTACAACCTATTAAAATACATAAAAAGATGCAATAGCTTCACTGGGCCTTAAAAATAACCTATCATGTCCCAACGCACAATAGGTATTACATCACATTCCTAAAATAATTACATACATATCAAAAATTCCTTCCTCCATCTCATCCAAACAAGGAATAGTCCTGTTACAATAAGTTACAGACCATAAATGTAGCTAAAGTTTTAAAGTTAATAACTTACAACATTATACTGATTAAACTAAAGTTTCTCAAAATAGTTAAGATTACATTTACAAAATACTAGAGTCTTATACAAAAGATAGCAAAAATAAAATAGATCCCCAAGCTCGTCTAAAATTGTGGTGGATCGTCGTTCGTCACCTCTTTTACTTGTTCTGAAAAATGTTAAAAATAATGGGGTGAGCATAAGCTCAATAAGAAGTATCTAAGACACTTCTTATGACCCCGCAAATCCACACAAAGAATGGATAAAACGGACGGGGTCATATCATGAGAAATACATATTCTCAACCACAACAACAAATATGTAGCAAATGTCAACCAATCACAGATTTATTAAAATGTCATGAAGTGCAATGTTATGCAAATGTCGCTCCCCATTTTCGAAACAATTCCGTTTTAACAACCAAACCGTTAGTGTAATCCAACCCAAGGCATCTCCAAGGCGTCACGAATGGAGGGTTGACTGACTATCCACGACCACAAGGTACCTCCAAGGCGTCGCATCCGGCCTAGTTAACTCAACCATACTCTCTTCTAGACTGCACTAACAACACGGACTATTAGGCGCCTCCTACGCGTTTGGTTTTCGCAAACACCATTGAAAATATTTTCCGAAAAATAATTTCATTTATTTTAAAACATTTTTCCCTTTTTCTTTCCCAATGGATGCATGAATGCTTCATGCTTCTAATCATCAATTCAACTATAGGCTTTCACACATTCCATTTACATCATCATCACAATTTAATAAGAATTTCTAAACATTCATTTATTTTATTTATTTATAATCATAGCATCAATTTTTCAAAGTAATAAATAAATAATCATAGAATATACAACATATCAACACTAAGCATGCTCATTTACCGCAATGAAAATAGACATATATATGAACTCAAATAATACATAGAATACAATTATCATTTTAATTATACATAACTACAACAACAACAAACTAGATAATAAAAAATTAGCATGCTTAGGATCAAATTTAAGGAGAAAAATTCATAAAAGACCCAAGAAGTTGTAGATTAGAACACCCCTACCTTAAAGTGACGGAAACCCCCAATTTGAACCTAAGAACCCTAGAATTTTGAACTCCCTAGAGTGCACCAAAACTGAAATTGTTGGTACTCACACGTAGATCTCGCCATGCTCTTCGATTTGCCGCTAACGGCACCCAAAAATTTCAAGTATGGAAGGAGGAATCAAAGCTTGAAATTATAGAAAAAAAAAGAAAAAAAAAAAAAAAGAAAAGAAAAGGGAAGCCACTGGAATCGGACGAGAGAGAGAGAGATGCGCAGAGAGAGAAGAACAAATGGTCTAGTCAAAGGCCATTAGGCCCTTTGTGGTGTTTAAAATGTTGGTGGGGCCCACAAGCTTTTATATATATAAATAAAAGATTACATTCTCCCTAACTTTAAAAGATTTCATCCTCAAAATCAAGTCATATTTGAGGGAGAAAACAACTCTGGATACTTGGAGTGAACCTCCTGCTCAAGCTCCCAAGTAACCTTCTCAACTCCGTAATGCCTCCAAAGAACTTTTACCAACAGTATCGTCTTTTTCCTCAACATCTTCTGCTGTGTGTCAAGGATCTGTACTGGTCCCTTCTCGTAGGAAACGTCCTCGCCAATGTCCACATCAACCCAACTCAAAATGTGAGGCGGATCCAGCTCGTACTTCCATAACATCGATACATGAAAGACATTATGAACTCTATCCATCTGCGGTGGCAAAACAAGTCTGTAGGCAACCTCTCTTACCCGGTCCAAGATCTCAAAAGGTCCAATAAATCGTGGCGATAGTTTGCCACTCTTTCCGAACCTCATCAACCCTTTCCGTGGAGAAACTCGAAGAAAAATATAGTCTCCCACCTCAAAGGATAGCGGTCGTCTCCGCCTATCTACATAACTCTTCTGTCGACTCTGAGCTGTAAGCAATATCTGCCTGATCAGCTTAATCTTCTGGGTAGTCTCAAGTACAATGTCGGGTCCTAAGACGGCTGTCTCTCCCACCTTAGTCTAACAGACAAGAGACCTGCAAGGTCTGTCATACAACGCCTCAAATGAAGTTATTTGAATACTCGTCTGATAACTGTTGTTGTAGGCAAACTTAATAAGTGGAAGATGATCCTCCTAACTACCACCCAAGTCAAGTACACAGGTCTGAAGCATATCCTCAAAGATCTGGATGGTACGCTCCAATTGGCCGTCCGTCTGCGAATGGAATGCCGTACTAAGGTGCAACGCTGAGCCAAGCGCTGCTTGAAGTCCTTCCCAGAACTTCGAGGTGAACTTGGCATCCCTATCTGAAACAATAACCACTGGAACTCCGTGCAATCTTACAATCTCTTTCATATAAAGCACACCAAGCGCCTCTGCATCATCTGTTGCCTTAATAAGTAAGAAGTGAGCTGTCTTGGTCAATCTATCAATAATAACCCATACGGCTTCATTTCCCTTCCATGACCTAGGAAGACCTGTCACAAAATCCATGGCAATCTCTTCCTATTTCCACTGCGCTACCAGCAATGGCTGTAATAAACCAGCTGGTCTCTGGTGCTCGACCTTCACTTACTGACAGGTAAGGCACTTAGCCACAAACTGTGCAACGTCCTTCTTCATTCCATTCCACCAATACTGACGTCTCAGATTGTGATACATTTTGGTACTACCTTGATGAACTGCAAATCGGGAAGTGTGAAATTCCCGTAAAACGTCCTTACGACAAACTATGGGAACAACCAACAAACCCCTGGACTGTAGACTTCCATCTACATGTAAGGTCCAATCCTTCACGGTCTCGCCACTGGAGATCAAGGTGTAAATGGCATATAAATCCAAATCTTGTCTCTGTGATTCAATCACCCGTCTGACAAGAGTGGGTTGAGCCACGAGATTAAACAAGAATGCTGGCTCACTGCCATCATCATCATCATCAAAGCAATACAATCCCATTTCAGCCAAATCTTTAAGCATTTTCCACTTCCGAATGGCTAAACTAGCCATAGTCCCACGAGATTTCCGACTTAAAGCATTAGCTACCACATTTGCCTTGCTAGGATGATACTGTAAATCAAAGTTGTAGTCTTCTAAGAATTTAACCCATCGTCTCTGTCTGTTGTTTAAGTCCTTTTGGGAGAAAAGATACTTGAGACTCTTGTGGTCCGAGAACACCTCAAATCTCTTACCATGCAAATAGTGTCTCCAACATTTCAAGGTAAACATGACTGCCGCTAGCTCCAAGTCATGAGTGGGGTAATTATGCTCGTGAGTCTTCAACTGTCAAGACCTATAAGCCACTATTTTACCGTCTTGCATCAGTACACAACCCAAACCATCACGTGAGGTGTCACAATAGATCACATAACCCATGCCACGCTCGGGTATTGCCAACACTGGAGCCGTAGTCAACCTTGTTTTCAACTCTTGAAATGATGACTCACAGACCTCATTCCATTCAAACTTGGTCCCTTTCTGGGTCAATCTGGTCATAGGAGCTGCCAAACGGGAAAATTCCTTCACAAATCTTCGATAGTAACCCGCTAGGCCAAGGAAACTCCGGATCTCAAAGACATTTTTGGGTTGCTCCCAATTAAGAACTGCTTCAATCTTTGAAGGACCAACTGAAACTCCACCTTCCGAAACAACATGTCCCAAAAATTTCACCTCTTGTAGTCAAAACTCACACTTTTCATACTTAGCGTACAAACGGTGCTCCCGTAGAATCTGCAACACTATACTCAAATGGACCTCATGCTCCTCCCGAGTCCGTGAATACACAAGAATGACATCTACAAAAATTACCACAAACTGATCCAAGTAATCGTGGAAAACACGGTTCATTAAATCTATGAATGTCGCTGGTGCGTTAGTCAGACCAAAGGGCATGACAAGAAACTCATAGTGTCCATACCGCGTACGAAAAGCGGTCGTTAGAATATCCTCTTCTCTAACTCGTAACTGATAATAACCTGACCTCAAGTCAATCTTCGAAAACAACTGGCTCCTATCAATTGATCAAATAAATCATCTATCATTGGCAAAGGATATTTGTTCTTGATAGTGACATGATTCAACTTCCGATAATCAATGCAAAACCTCAAAGAACCATCTTTCTTCTTAGCGAATAAGACCGGTGCACCCTACGGTGACACACTCGATCGGATAAAGCCTTTTACTCTCAAATTGTCAAGTTGTTTCTTCAATTCTTCCAATTCAATTGGTGCCATATGATATGGTGCCATAGAAATTAGCGTGATACCAGGCATCAAATCAATAGCAAACTCTACCTCTCGGTGCGGAGGCAACTCAGTCAAGTCCTTCGGAAACACATCCAAAAAGTCGCGCACAACCACTGGATAATCAACCCCACAAAACTCAACATCATCATCGGCAAAAAGGCTAGCTAAGAAGAACCCTTGTGGGTCCCGACCTCTAACACCATAGAATGAATGAGTGAAAG